TTTCTTTCTTTCTTTCTTTCTTTCTTTCTTTCTTTCTTTCTTTCTTTCTTTCTTTCTTTCTTTCTTTCTTTCTTTCTTTCTTTCTTTTTAACAGAGCTGAGGACCGAACCCAGGGCCTTGCGCTTGCTAGGCTGAGCTAGATCCCCAACCCCCCTCACTCACTTTTTCTTACTCTGTGTGTGTGTGTGTGTGTGTGTGTGTGTGTGCGTGCGTGCGCGCGCGCGCGCGCGCGCGCGCATGTGTGTTCACGGTGGGGGAGGGGGTGTAGACCAGAGGCTTTTTTAAACCACTCTCTCCCTTAGTGGAGACAGTCACTCAGTGAACGCCTGGAGCTCCCTGACTCAGACTAGTGCTACCATGCCTGGCTTTTTTCACGGGTGCTCAGGACCTCATGCTTGCTGGAAAGCACTCTAGTGACCCAGCCACCTGTCTCCCCAGCATCCCCCACCCCCATGCGCTAATGCCTGAGTTTTGCTGTCTTTAATTATCTGTAATGGAAAAAGACAGCCTATTGACTACTTGTTTAGATTACCGCCTCCATTAGAATGTACATACACATCATGAGGGGAAGAACTTTTTTCCTTTTGCTATATCCCTGGTGCCTAGAACAGAATCTAACACATGGTAGGTGGTCAAGAAATATGGACTGAGACCAAGAGCAAAGCTGAACTTGGTGCCTTCTACTCGATATCCAAGCTGAGTTTTCCAACAGAATTTGCAAAGCAACTTTACTGATTTACATTAAGACTCTGTAGTACTGGCCTGTTGTTCCAAAAGTAGCTTTGTAAATAGTTGTAATATTTATGAAGAAATCATTATTTTAATTTTCCTATTTCTTATGAAGTCAAATCTTTTTTTCTATAGTTCATATAGTTCATATTTACAGTAAATCTACCAGGGTTTTCTTCTCTCTCTCTCTCTCTCTCTCTCTCTGCAATAAATACCTATTTGGGGGCATTTGTTACATTTTCTCTCTATTAAATATCCAGCTAAATTGAATTGTCCTGTCAAACTGCCATCATTATATATACATTTTAGAAAAACACAAATGAGCAAGAACAATACATTGCAGTTGAAAAGGTCATGGGAATGTCTAAAAAATATCTAGTGTGACTCTATAGAGCTAATTGATGACATGTTTTGTCTATCTTAATGACCTCCTAAATTAAATGAGTGACTTCTTCATACTTAAAAGAACACCATGCAATCATGGATTATGGGGAGAAAAGTTCTGAGATTGTCATCTACTCCATATCTCCTTTCCTGTTGTTTCCCCCCCTCCCACTTGGTACTTAGAAGACTACATTTCCCAGAAGTCTCCACTAGCAATGTCCCCAAAGCAAAAGAACTCTTCCACCTACACTACTCCCATCTGGAATGGTGTCAGCCAGTAAAGAATTCTCCTGAGCCTTAGAAAGCAGGTAATTGAGAAGAGAATCAGTGTTTAGTTATAATGTAAATTGCAACAAATGAAGATTATAAACATAAAACAAGATAAAATTATTCCAAAGAAATCAGTAATTTTGTTTTGTACTAATTAGGGAATATTTAAATTTCTTTCAGTTTCAAAAGCAATTTCATTCCACTTCTGGGTAAGCACCCTGCTCTCACTGAATGCAGCAATAAAATCAGAACAAAATACATACACATGGGAGCTATGTGAGGATTCTTCAGGGAAGCCGCCAGCAGGGCTAACTGGAGAAGGGCAACAGGGTGGTAAGTCTCTGGAGTGGCAGGAATTTCGCATTTTTGTTTCCTTGCATACCTTCCAGCCTGGTCTCAAGACTACAAACCCTGAAGCTGGAACCAGCACAAGACATCCAAACAGCCCCTTCAGCTCTGCCTCAAGATTCCGGAAAGGAGACATAGGATGCTCAGTATAAGTGGGGGAAATGATTTCTCTTTTCAGCTCTTTCTCCATTTTCTCACAACTCAGTTCTCAGGCAATCCTGCCAGGGCCGTTGGAACAGCAGGAAACTGCAGCTGGCTAAAACTCAAGGGAAGAGAAGTTACTCTAAAAGAGTAGGCGTGGTCCTGCAGGAGGTGAGCACCTGATGGTATTTTGAATGTTGTTTTTGAGGGGCCTGCCACCCAGCTCCCAAATAAATTCACACACAGAGTCTTATTATTATTATGAATGCTCAGCCTTAGCTTGGCTTTTTTCTTGCCAGCTTTCTTTGACTAAAATTAAAATTTAAAAATGATTTAAAAATCATCCCATCTACCTTTTGCCTCTGGGCTTTTCCTTTTCTATTCCTGTATACTTTTCTTTGTTTTTTACTCTGTAGCTGGCTGTGCAGCTGGGTGGCTGGCCCTGGAGTCCTCATCTTTCTCTCTCATTCCTAGATCTCTCCCTCTCCACATATTTGTGTGCCTGCCAGCCCCACCCATCCTTTCTCCTGCCTTGCTATTGGCTGTTCAGCTCGTTATTAGCCCATCAGGTGTTTTAGACAGGCACAGTAACACAGCTTCACAGAGTTAAACAAATGCAACATAAACAAAAGTAACACACCTTAAAATAATATTCTATGACATTTGTCTCTTAGTGGTCTCACTCTTAGCTCCATTTGCAGGAGCATATGTGGGAAGCTGGCAGCAGGACAGAACAGAGCAAATACAGCTCTCAGTTGCAGGTCTCTGATGAATCCCCAATAATGGCCATGATAGAAACAATACTTTTCTGTTACTGGTAAACACCAAACCAAGATGATGCTCTTGAAAAGGCAGAGAAAAAGATACATTGATTTTTTAGGATTAATGTTTTGAATAATTGTAATTTCTCATCATAAACAATGGAGGGCAAAAGAAAAGAGAACAAACTTAATGGATGGTTAAAAGAATTGTCAACCAGATTGTAATACCTAGCAAACCTATCTTTTAAGAACGAAAGTAAAGCCGGGCGTTGGTGGCACACGCCTTTAATCCCAGCACTCGGGAGGCAGAGCCAGGCGGATCTCTGTGAGTTCGAGGCCAGCCTGGGCTACCAAGTGAGCTCCAG